GCCGCAGCAGCCGCAGCAGCAGCCGCAGCAGCCGCAGCAGCCGCAGCAGCCGCAGCGGCAGCAGCAGCGGCAGCAGCAGCGGCAGCAGCAGCAGCAGCAGCGCACCAGTTGAGGAGAGCATGGCCTTGATGGCCTCGGCTGCTTTCTCGGCCTTGCCCTCCTGGGCCAGCCCGATGATCACATTGATCACGACCACGCCGATGATGAGGCCTGGGGGGGGAGGGAGGGGTTGCCGCAACACAATGATGTGCGAGGAAGTGCTGTGACGTGGACCCAGTGTTCTAGCCACCCCAAGCACGGAAATCAGGGCAAGCGCGGCGCGAGCGCACTGATGCGTGTCCCGCACGTGGCCGTAAGCCTGCGCGTCGCCGCGCGGCGGGCGCGCTCCAGGCGCGACGCGCGCTGCAGGCGCGACGCCTGCTGCTACACGCCGCGCTTGTGCAGCTGGCCCGCAGCGTGCCCAGCGGTGCTTGGCCCAGTGGCTCTGGCGCGGCCAGCCCTGCTAGCGCATCAGTCTGATGCAGCAAGAGCCCACCGAACCCCTCAGCCTGCCCCACCTGTCTCGATCCACTCTCTGAGGCCAGCCACCACCACCGCAGCTGCCAGCAGGATGAAGATGAGGACCTGGGGTGGTGGTTGCGGGGTAAGTGCGGGGTGACTCAGGGTGACATGCGGTGAGTCGGGGCAGCGCAGAGGGGTGGGGTAGCCGCAGCCAAACGGACTGCGGCGGAACAAGCGGCTGCGCAACTAGGGTGGAGGGGGAGAGCCGCGCAGGCTTGCGGCGGCTGTTAGTAAAGGTGCCGCGGCAGCTTCGCAGGAGCAGGCGAGGGATTGCTGTCTGCAGCGGCCAGCGGGACGCCGGGAGGGGAGGGCTGCGCGTGCAAAGCGTCCGCAGGGCCAGGACCCTGGCAGCGCCGCCTCCCCGGCCGGGCGGCGCATGGCGGCAGGGCGCACATTGTTCAGCTGTCCCCAGAGCTTGGCTAGGAAGCTGGGTTTCTTGGGGGGCGTCAGCGCATTGGGGCCGAACCTGACAGTGGTGGCGGAGTGTGTGTTTGGGGGGGGGGAGAGGGGGGGGTTGTGATGGTCGCGCGCATGTGGATGGGGCGCTACGGCGGCGGTGACATGGAGAAGGTGCGGGAAGTCACAGGCGCCCGGCGGCCGGCCGCACAGGAGCGATCGCAGGAGGATGCGCGCGCTCCTACCAACTCTTCGGCGATCCCAGCTGCTTTTGCAACGTGCATGGGCTGCAAGGCTGGTGTACTGTGTGTCCCATGTGGCTGGCGGCGTACGCCCCATGCTGACGCAAGCCCTCCCACGACCGCGCCGTACCGCTGCAGTCGTTCCGCGGCTTCTCCTGAAGTCAGTCCGTCTAAGTTGGTGTGTAGACGCTCGAACACCTCACTAGTGCTGCCCAGGGCGTGCCAGGGCGTCTCGCGAAACTGCGAGTCATCTTCAAGTGCCATACTGAGACTCGACAGATCATAGCCTAGCGAATGATTAACCTAGTCAAATCAATTTCAATTCGACAGTACCAGGCGCAAGGTAGCGCCAGGTGTGGACGTTGATGCCGCAATAGTGACACGGGACGGTCACTGTTGCGTGCTTCGTATCATCGACCGGGAGGCGGCTATCAAGTTAATCTTGAGATGAAGTTTGAGATGTTGTTATCACGGTCGGTACCCGGGTGGCATGGGTCAGCTGTGCGAAGATGCTGCATCCAGGCCTCAGCGGATGACGCGGCACTGCTGGTCAGGCAACGGATAGAAAAATCTTTTGGAGCCATGCATCAACACGAAATTGTGGGCCTTGGGATGTTGAGATGTGGAACAGAACAGAACTGTAGTGAGACCAGTCAATATTCTTTGCTAGGGCTGAGAGGGTACCTTGCAGGGTTTCCTCCCCTTCACCGCTCGCCTGCGGAGCACTGGGGCATTCAGTGTGGCGCGTGTCACGGGCTGCTGCTGAACCGCCCACAGAACAGGTGGAACAGCGTGCTACACGTCGGCGCGCCCCATCCAGCTGGATGCATCGCAGCATGGCAGGGAAAAGCGCGGCCGCGGCGAGAGCGGCGCGACGCAGCGCATTGCCTCACAGCACTGGCACCACCCTCGCCCCACCCTCCAATGCCTCACAACAGTGGAGGCTTCCATTGGTTTGCCATGCTATCGTCGCATGCGCAATGGGTTTGCGGCCTGGTCGCAGTGCAAGGGGTTGGCTTGTGCAGCTTTTTCCCGCACAGTTAGCTCCTTTGGGATGCAGGCGAAGTTGCCTCAACTGCTTTCTTTCTCTAGTCGTTTGCGTCCAGCCGCAACGTGCTGCCGCCAGCCCAACCGCAGCCCTGCCAAGTTCTTAAAGTCATTATATCGGGATACAGCGTGGCGGTTGCCATGTTGGTGTGCTGCATTTCAGGCCTCAACCCCAATATATATGTCTTCAGTTTCCAAGGCGCCGTTCCTATCACGTTTCCCACAAGCATGAGCAGCTGTACGCGCAGCGTTGCATCTCAGCAGGATGCTTGGACGCGCTCCCGCGATGCTGAGGCCTCACCGAATTCACCCCATTGTTCCAGCTGACACCGCTGGGGCAGCAGCGCGCAGCACAGTGGGGAGAAGCCGTGTTTTTACAGCAGCAGCCTGCAGTGTGTACATGATGCGGCGATCTACGCCGCCGGCGGCGGCCGCCAGGGGGTGGCCGTTGCCTCGAGCCCGGCCGCTCGGCGGCCCGCACGTCGCGCAGCGCGCGCGTGCGGAACCACCGTCAGGGTTCGGCACGCGGGCCCGGGGTCTCGGGTTTGAAAAAACGGGCCGCGCGTCGGCCTAGCGTGTGTGTGGGGTCGATACGTTTACTTGGACGCGCCAGCCTCGGCCGAGCTCCTGACCTTGGCGAGCAGCTTGGCCTGGGGCAGGCGTGGTTTGAGGGCGGGTGTGAGCGTTTGGGGGCGGGTATGAGCGTTTGGGGGCAAGCTGCACAGCACAGTCCGCAGGCGAGCAGCGCGGACCAGCTGGACTGGGGTCGTGTGCCCCTGCGGGTCACTGGCAGCGCACTGTGTCCCTGGGAGCCAATGCACTGGAGACGAGGCGCTGGAGATGAGGCGCAGGGTGCAGACGAGCTGCAGGCCGCTGGCTGGAGGGCCCGG